CATCTCCTTCATTCTGCAAACTCTGTCTTCATGCCCAAGACGGTATTAGCTTTGATGCCTGCTCTACCACTGTACACTGTTGTCTCATTCTGAGCTTGTGATTCACACAATTTAGACTCCTGCTGCTTCCTAGCAATGTGAATTTTGTAAAACTGGGAAGCTGTATCTAAATGTGAACTGCTATTTTCATTCTTATTCCTCCTTTTGCTACTTGGAGAGATAGTTGGTTGCTTCGACATGGGCCAGCTGGTATTCTGTCCCAGTTTTACTTCTTGGAGAACTGCTTTTTGAGGCCAGTTATGGTCCCCAAAGTTTGGAATTCTCACTTTCATTGCTAATTATCTTCAAGTCACTAGACATCAGAAAACCATGAGTTTTTACTTTATTTGTGAATTAATGCATGAAATACCTAAGTGGTCTGATTTTGACTCAGGGCTTCTTAACCTAGGAGCCGTGAACTTTTTTTCTTAACATATTTTGATAATTATTTCAGTATAATTGATTTCCTTTGCAATGCTGTGTATTTTATTTTATGCCTTTAAAAACATCATTCTGGGGGCAGCTAGGTGGCGCAGTGAATAGAGCACTGGCCCTGAAGTCAGGAGGACCTGAGTTCAAATCCAGCCTCAGACCACACACTTGACCTATGCTAGCTCTGTGATCTTGGGCAAGTCACTTAACCCTGATTGCCTCACTAAAATAAAATGAAATAAAAAACCATCATTCTGAGAAAGGATTCAGTAGATTTCACCAAACTGCCAAAAGACAGAACCAAAAAAAAAAAAGATTAAGAATATCTGATTTAGAGGCTGATGAATTTTTAGAGTGGAAGATGACCCTGAGATCAGAACCAGCATATGTGGGCTGGCAGGGTCTCTGGCAGAATGCTGGCCTCTCTGTTGTTGGGACTTTGCAGAGTTTGCAGGGTGGTTTGCTTGTCCATCGGGAGGTCCTGTTTGACCAGACTCTTTCCTCAGACCCTGGTCAAGACTGAAAGGAGCGATGAGCTTTCTTTGCCCTGTGTAACAGCACAAGTCTCAGGAGGCCTGAGCATTGGCTTGAGAGATGTGCCATCTTCCTGCTCCATCCACTCTTCCCAGACTGAAGAGTAATGTTATGAGAGAGGCATTATGGGAGATGGGTAGGACTCTCGGGCTCCTGGCCAGTTTTGCCAGCTTAAAAGACATGAGCCCATTTCCTTCTGTCCAGCACAGTAAAATTCCAGCCTGTTCACAAAATACTTTAGATGCTAAAATAAGAGAACTCAATAAAGCACCAACTGTTATTTCTCTTTTCCTTCTAAACTAAACTCAACAGAGACTAGAGACAAATCTGTGTATCTCTATCTTATGAGAAGCAAGAATAGGCACCAGCTCTTTCCAGACTGAGTAGGAGGAAGTAAGATAGGCTTAGGACTTCTGTCTCATTTCCTTCTGCCCTTCCTGCTTCTTTGCCTGTCCGTCTTCCTCAGGCCTTAGTGAAACCTTGGGGCAGATGGGAAGGAGAAGCACAATGCTTTCTCTTCCTTGCATGTAAGAGGCGATTAGTCCAGTGTTGCCTTTACCAGGTGTAGCCTTCCAAAACATCACTTTGTAGCAGAGGAAATGAGTACACCTGTTTGTAGTAATGGTGGGAATTGATGACAAAAAATATTTCCAATCAAATACCGTTACACCTGAGTATGCAGAGGTATCCAGAGGAAAAAAGAGATTTGGGGCTGGGGATGAGGGGAAGAGAAAGGGATTGGTTAACAAGAGACCCTCCACCTAGAGGGCCCAGAGACAGACCCCCATAGCCAGTGAGAGAGAGTCCTTTTCCTGGGTGGGTAGGCAGGACTCCTACAGAATGCTGTATGTGCTGTCATATGTGGTCCTTCTGTTATTTGGTTTTGTTTAGCTATTTTTATTTATTTACAAGTGAGGATTCATGGTTCAGGTGACTGCGAAATAACTAGTGTAAAAAAATAAAAGCCATCAGAACTTCAGAAAATAAAACAGGGGTCTTAGTGGGCCCATGCCCAAGTGGTGCATTCGCACTGTTGGAACAAAGGTGCTCAGGCTGTAGGAGGAGTTACAGAGAAGCATGAGTTCTAGAGCTTCTCCTACAGGAGAAGAGAACTGGGGTGGATGCAGACATTTCAGGCCTCCATTAAAGCTGCGTGGTTAACGTGTTTCCTGAGGCTTAAATGTCCCCTTTGGGTCTCAAGATGTATATGGCTGTCCAAGATCTTAGATACCCTTGGGTGGGAGTCACCCAGTTACCTGATGGCTGAAATCAAAGCCAAACACATTATGGCCTAGAGCTTAGGACCTGGGAGGAAGAGGAAGTCATACTGCGCTTCTTTTCCATTCCACAAGGGGAAAAGACATCGTTGACCAAGTTCAGTATCTGGAAGAAGCTTGTTTTGAAGTCACTAACAGTGCTTTAGAAATCATGGAAAATGCTAGCAGCAAAGCCTATAATGGCCCTGCCCAGGAAACTGTTAGTGACTTCCTCTCGCCACCCCACCCCCACTCCCTCTTCGAGAGGCCTCAACCGACCAGCCATGGGGAGGCTTGTGTTTCTGCGCGAGGGCCAGCTGATTGTTTACTGAATAAGTACACGTGTTGCTGGGCGAGTGTTTGAGGCAGCACCTTAGTGCTTCATGCTCAATTAGAAAGAGCTAGTCAAGATGGAGATTTAGATAAATAAATAAAAAATCAAACACACATTCCACTTCTTCTTCAACAACATAATATATAACTTGAACCGGAAATTTGGCCATTATTTTTCATCACATTTCCAAGATCTGGCCCTACTTCTACTTGCCAGGAAAATCTGTGTAAATAATCTTCATGGTTTCCTAAACTTCCTCTTAGATAATTGCATTCACCTACTCAGGCCATGAAAAAACCATTGACTATATTGGAGCTCCAGGAATGAGCACAGTAAGACAGTGGTGCCTCAGAGCTGAGGTTCTTTTCATCTCGAGTAGAACAGAAGCTCTTGGGGCAGCAGGATGGCGAAGTAGATAGAGCAGCAGCCGTGGAGTCCAGAGGACCTGAGTTCAAATCCGGCCTCAGACACTTGATACTTACTAGCTGTGTGATCCTGGAGAAGTCACTTTGCCCCATTGTCTAGCAACAAAAAAAAAAACACAGCAGCTCTTCTGCAGCAGTTTTCTCTGGAAGCTCCTCTGTGATGTATCTATCTTTGCCATACATGTTATTCTTAACACCATAGAAATGGAGACAAAATATGAATTGACTGATGAATCCTTTAGAAAAAAGAGGTTTAATAGGAAATTGGCTTCCTGAAACTCAGAAAACTGCTCTGTGATGTCAGTTTGTAGTCTTTGCTGGTTACAGTCAGTAGTTTTCACTAGAGGAAACCCAGGCCTGTCTGGAGAGGCCAACTTAATCGTACATGACGAAGCTTCTGGGGCCAATGTTTTAGCTTATCATCTTGGTCCTCTTAAACTAGTGGGCAAACCACCTGGGGAAAGATGCTGCCCTTTGCCTACACAGGAGCCCTGGCTTTCTATGTCCACAAGGAAAATGGGGGCTTCCTTCTTCTTTCTGAAGCAGAAGTATGGGGCATCTAGGTCCTGGAGCAAAAAGGTGTTTTAAGAGATGATTAGATGGTTACTGAAAAAGGTGGGAGGACATTTTACATATGTGTATACACACACACACACACACACACACGTATGTATATATGTATGTATGTATGTATGCATGCATGCAGAGTAGGCTGTGAACAGAGCTAGAACCTGCCTGTTGGGGCCTGACCCTGGAGCCCAGAGGCTTTGCATTCAAATCCATGAACTCATTTTTTGTTTTTGTACAATATTTTGATAATTATATTTCAGTTTAGCTGGTTTTCCCTGTATCCCTGTATTTTTATGAATTTAAAGCCATGATTCTGAGAAGAGGTCCATAGACTTTCCCAGACTCATTACCAAGTGGGTCTATAATCCACAAAAATAATTAAGAACCCCTATCCCTAGAGGGAAGTCTGAAAATGAAGAGGTTTCTGGGCAGCTTACTGTTTTCATCAGGATTATTGATCTGAGCAAGGTAACTTTGCAAGTGGGTTCATCTAGACATAGCTGCTGATTTGCTTTCTGGCTGGTCTTTCCCCTCCACTGTCTAGTAGTAACTCAGTTTATTGGCCAAGGCTGGACTCTGGGACCATGTAGTCCTTTCTTATATCTGTTGCTGTTTTGATGGTATGAAACATGAGGGTTTGAGGTCCAGACTACTCACTTGGAGATAGTTCTAAGGAATTGTGATTACTTCGGATAATGATATAATTATTACATAATTACTTCCTAGTAATGATAGAATTTCATTCTTGTTGAGTTATGCACAATGTATAGAAATAAAACCATCTCTCATGGGTTTTGACTGCTGGGCACCCAAAGAAGGACCCCAAGGAGGAGAGTGGGCATAGGCTGGAGAAGCAGGGGGAAGCTCAGGCCTTCTCTTTTAGATGGTGGGGGATTTTAAAGCTTATGTCCTGGGCTAAATAGAACCTTTATCCTGGTGCTGACTCCTGGAAAGAGAAGTCCCTTCTGATAGGGGGAGTTTCCATCTAGATGGAAAGCCATCTATAGTATCTGCTTATCCTTGGCAAATTTAGCTCCCTTCTTCTCGAAGGGTGCTTGTTCTAAAATAGTCGTGTCAGCCTTGATCTACTGTGCTCTGTGCACCTCATGTAACTGATAGCACCGCCTGTCCCTTTTTCTCTACTGCGTAGGTACTCGTTTGTGCTGAGGCCATACTGGTGGTTTTGGGTAGCTTTCCCTCCCTCACACTGACAGCTCTGATTGTGCTGCCCAGGCAGGGCCTGCTGACCCTGTCCATGAAGACTCCTTTGCTCTGACATAAGCAACTAAGACACTGAGGCTTTTTATTCCCTGGGCAGTTGTCAAGAGCCTTTCTGGAGTTAATGGCCCTAATGTTCCTAATGTCAGACTTTTCTCTTTCTCATTTCTTTCCCCCACATTCCGTGCCCAGGAAATATGTTTCCAACCATTGGGGACGTTCATCTTGCACCATTCACAGATGAGCAGCTCTACATGGAACAGTTTACCAAGGCCAATTTCTGGTGAGTCCTTTCCCCTCTCTGTGAGCTTTGCCCTGGTGGCTGTCAGAGGCCATGGCCAAGGCCACAGAGCTTGGTAACTATCTGCAAGCCAGAGAAAGTCATACTTTGGGGAAGCCTGGGTAGGGTGGTTTTCTGCTTCCCAGGCTGAGCTAACCTTGCTTTCTAGATGTACTATTTTTGGACTTTTGGGCCTTGTTGATGGGGTGGACTAGGTGACTTCTAAGGTTCTTTAGGCCCTAATACAGTAACTGTAATGAAAGTTTTTATTGCCTGCTGGTATAGGCTGACTAAGAGTGGCTCTCCCCTGCCCGTCTCATTCCTGTCCTTCCTGTCTTCTCTTTTATCTCTCCCAGGAAAAGCTCTGGCTCAAACCTCCAGCTGAAAAATACTGCCCTTGGGATTGGCCCTTTATGGGGCACTCGCCTACTAGTTTGACTCCTAGAATAATTATGACTCCTTTCCTGTATATGTGTCAAATACTTTTCAAATTGCCCCATCCTCTTAACAATTAAAAAGTTAGAGTTAGTCTTTGGAAGCATGTCTTCTAGAGAGTGAGCAAAGTCCTCGCATACACATGTTGGTCAGCTGATTCTCGGTGTGGGGGTGGGCCTCTCTTCCCCTTTCTTTAGGTATCAGCCATCTTTTCATGGAGTTGACTTGTCAGCACTTAGAGGAGCAGCAGTAGATGAGTATTTCAGACAGCCCGTTGTGGTAAGTGTAACCCCAAGCATCTTAGCACTCAAGGCTAGAGAAAGGGCAATGGAGGTGAGATGAGGCGGTCTGGCTATCCATCCAGCATTTTCATGGAAGGTTTGCTCTTTAGTTTCCTGCTGAAGCCTTGATTCTGATCATAGCCTATCAGCCTGACTTTTTTCAAGGAGATTCTTGATGCCAAGACTCCAGTTCATGGGCACTGTTGGGTGGGCCTCCAACACCAGGTGCTTATATTGAGCAATCTCATCCTGCCTTCTCTTTTGTCTTCCAGAGCCAAGTTAACTCAGCACTCTCTCTCTCTCTCCCTCTCTTTCCCTCCTAGGACACATTTGATATCAGGATTTTAATGGCTAAGTCAGTAAAATATACGGTGAATTTCTTAGAAGCCAAAGAAGGCGATTTGCACAGGTAATGTTTCCTTTTGGCTTCCTGTGGATTGTGGCTGGAGGGAATAGGCATGGATTAGAGCTGTGAGGCCAGAAACCCCTGCAGACCCTGGGACTCCCCATAGAGCAAATGTAGCTGGAACCGTCTGTCTGTATTGAGGAATTTACATCCACAGCCGGGTCTCTGAACTTTGAAAGCATTGGTCTATCCTCCAGCAAAAGCAGGAGAGGATGCATCCTCTGCTCACATTGCTACTTGAGCCATATTGTAATTCCCATCAACAGTTACTCAGTAGCCCTGGGCATCATTGTAGGGGAAGGAAAGGTTGCCTAAAATGCCTCTTCTCTCAGAATTGTTCCAGTGCTTTAATTTTCTCCTGGCTTTTTCCCTTTGCTGTACCCAGAGAGATAGGGGGAATCGGGGTGGGGGAAAACTGGGGAACAGAGGGAATGCATGCTTCATTCTGGACTTGTAGCTCTTCCCTGTACTGGGTTAAGAGTCATTAGGACTGCACATTTGGTAAAAGGGGAAGGTGTTAGTTAGCCTAAGCCATCCTACTGGGGCCACACAAGCCTTCCTCAGGCTGCCTGCCAGCCTTCCAAAAGGCCAGTATCCTGTAACCATCACCCAGAGGGCCTCAGGGATTGTCTGACCCCTCCCATGCTAGCCTTGCCTTTGGTTAACAACTTTACTTTACTCTGCTTTCCAGATAGAAATCCCATTCAAGTTCCACATGCTGCACTCAGGGCTTGTCCACGGATTGGCTTTCTGGTTTGATGTAGCCTTCATTGGTTCAATGTAAGTGAGGGGGAAAATGTACAGCCTTGGGGCCTCCCAACAGAGGGAGCGTGGGGTTTGTAGAACAGACCCCAGCTCCAACTTCCTGCTCCTTGTCATACTCACCTGCATGTCCACCTTCAGTTACCATGCCTTTGTGTATATACCAATTGCCTTTGCCCCACCTGTGGCCAGCCACGACCTCAAACCAACCACAGAAGATGCTGGTCTGGCCCCAGCACTGCATCGGGATCCAGGGAATGTAGTCTGAGGGACCCGTAAGGGAAGAACAAGGCTTCTCTTCCCTCCCCTGCCTTCTGGCTTCCATTCTCAGCAACGACAAGTTCTCCACAATGCCAGAAGCTGGGATGAGCTTGTAGATGCTGGTTGGGTATGTGTGCTCCCACATGTATGATCATGTGTGCCCATGTGTCTGGGGCTAAGACAGCTGGAAGAGTGCCTGACTTCGCCTTCTGTCTCCTTTTCTTCCTCCAGTCTGTACTGTGTCTCAGGCTGGATAAGAGATGTCTCTTCATCTTCTTCAGCCTGGCATCTGGTGAAGATGACAAATAGGGTTTCATCTGAGGCCTCACCGCAGCCCAGGCTCCTGTATACCTGAGCCTCCCAGCTGTCTGTGATGCTTTCATGTGTTAGAGATGCTCTTTCACCGTCTGTTCCCACAGGCCCTCTTGGCCATTTTCCCGGCTTGTCTTTGCCAAAACAAGATTATGACTCCACTCCCAGAGAGATGAAGATGCTCTCAGAAAGGGGGCAGTGGCTGGGTGCTCCTAGAGTCAGGGTCCTGACACGCTGCGACCACCTTAGGTCATGGTCCCTTTTTGTCACTGGTTCTTAATCCTTTGATGCATCATGGCCCCTTTGGAAGTCTGATATAGCCCATGGGTCCCTTCTCAGAATCATGGTTTAAAGAATTCATCATTGAAAGAAATAGTAAATTTCAGTAAGTGGTTAGTGCAAATAAAGATGTAATTTTTTTTTCCATTCAAGTTCATGGACCCCAAGTTAAGATCTTGCTTTAAGTCTGCTGATTTCCTAGTTTCATGACTGGAAGACACTCTGAGTTTCTTTCTCCATTCCCTCAAATTTTGCTAATGGTCCCTCAAGTCTCCAAGCACATAGTGTGCAGGGTCTGGGGGAGTGAATGGTACCCACCCCCTCAGCATCCCCTGTCTCCCTCTCACCAACAGAATGACAGTGTGGCTGTCCACAGCACCCACGGAGCCTCTGACTCACTGGTACCAAGTTCGGTGTTTGTTTCAGTCGCCGCTCTTTGCAAAGGCCGGGGACACGCTCTCAGGGACATGTCTGCTCATCGCAAATAAGAGGTGGGCCCTGCGGGAGAGGAGGGGAGTCAGCTCTGGAGGCCGTTTGAAGGAATGAGAAGCGCTTCCAAAACCATGGCAGTCAGTCACGCAGTGACCTCATCGTTCGCATCCCTCTTCTCATGCATTTTACGCGTGGCCTGTGTGCACATGTCCCCACGGAACTTCTCCAGGCCACATCCCCCCAGCTTTTTCATCCACTCCTCAAAGAACATAGTCTCCAGTCCTCAGCTTCCTTGCCTGCGTCTTTTCCCTCAGCAGTTAATCCTCTCCTAATCCCCCAGCTGAGCAGTGGGGAGTCTTAATCCCTGGCACCCAGGCCCAGTTCCGTACCTCCCATCCCCATCCCCACCCCAGAGTGACACACACAACTGGCCTTCCTCATAGCACTATCTTGGGAGTCTCAGAGACTGCTGGAAGTGGGAGGAAACAAATCTAGCCAAGCCCTGCCTGGATCCCACAGAGAGGAACTCTGGGAAAACCCGACTGGTCCCAGCATAGTTGATGGCTAGAGATAGAGCACTGGGCTTGGAGTCGGGAAGTCCTGAATTTGAGTCTTGCCTCAGACCTTACCATAGTTAGGTGGCCCTGGGTGGGTTACTTTACTCTTCTCAGCCTCAGTTCCCTCATATAAAAGTGCAGTAACAGCAGCTAGCTTACGGGCTTGTCATGAGGATCCTGTGGGATAATATAGGTGAAGCTCTTTGCCATCCTTAAAGTGCTATAGAAATGCTAACTATTAGTCTTATTTGTATTATTATCACGAGTTCTCCCAAGTGTCGGTGAGGCACAGGTCCTAGGTTCAGTTCTCCAAATAACTCCAAATTTCCGTTTAATGTCGTTGGTTTAGCCTGCCTTCCTGCTGGCCAGCCATAGCCTATTCTTAAACTGGTCCTGCAGCTTTTTGGGCAGAAAGGAACAGGGGCATTTAGAAAATCAGTCTTCCCCACCCAAGCCTCCTCAAAGGGAAGAGCAGCCCAGGAGCTGTTCACCCAGTGCTCACTAGGGCAGGCTCCTCAGACGATTGACTTGTCCAGGGTGAATATGCCTGAGGCGTCAAGCTAAGAAAACTATTTCCAATACCCACTCACAGTAAAGAGCAAAGACTGTCCCCCAGCTACCCTGCTACTCCCCTAGGTCGTGTCCTCTGTAGAGGTTGGGGATCTTGAAGAGACTCCATAAGTGCCTGGGAGGAATTCTAAGATGTAACACAAACAGTTTTTGCTTCTGTTTTTGTATTTTGCAAACATCCCTCTCCCATCCCTCCCTAAAATCCCTGCGTGCTGTGAGTTGTGGTATCCTGGGAGATGGCAAGAAGGAAGAGCAGTTTTGGCCCTATGCTACCTGGCTTCAGAAAGCCATGACTGAGCCTCTGGGCTTCCTGTCTCTTCTCTTTGCAGGCAGAGCTATGACATCAGTATTGTTGCCCAGGTGGATCAGACGGGTTCCAAATCCAGTAACCTCCTGGACCTGAAAAACCCTTTCTTTAGGTATGTTGGTTTGGGAGACCACTTGCCTATGAGTGCAGAAACCCTCATCAAATCTCTGAGCCAGAAGGGCCTGGCCCCAAAAGGTCATCTTGTCTAACTTGAACTAGAGCTGTTATCCCTACCTCCACAGCATTCCATCTGGCCTTTGCCTGAGGCCTCACAGTCCCCCTTCCCTCAAGCAGCCTGGTTAGTTGTCAGAGAGCTCAAACTGTGCACAATTTCCTTCTTTGCTAGGCTCATGTTGCCTTTATAACTCCTACCCATTTGTCTTATCTTCCAAAAATTAACCCCTAAGCTAAACATTACTAATTCCTTCAACCCATTTTCTTTAAGTTATTATTTAGAAACCTCATCCTGATTTCCATCCTACCCTTAAACAGCCCTCTCCTATTCCCTTTGCAGAGGCATAGAGACTCTGGTATCTTGTATTGCAATTCTTTATCCCTTACTCTCATGCAACACCCAGCCCCCTTCCCAGTACACGCCTGTAAAGCACCCCAGCAGCCGTGGGAACAGAGGCCTGGTCTGCTCTGCTGGCTTCACCAGCTGTGCAGAGCCCCAAGAGGCAGCTTCTGTAACCACTTGGGTTTCTGCCAGATATACAGGTACGACACCATCTCCTCCACCTGGCTCTCACTACACGTCTCCGTCTGAAAACATGTGGAACACAGGTGGCGCCTACAATCTGAGCAGCGGGATGGCTGTGGCTGGTAAAGCTTCTCTTCTGTCCATTTTCTTCCCACCACAGTCCCAAACCTTCCCTCAGCTGGGCAACTCCCCTCAAAGGGTTCATACCCTTTTCTAAGAATGCATACCTGTGCATATGCTTAGAGAAAGAGAGAGTGCAAACAGATGAGGGTGTTGGAAGAATTTGGGTGGAGGCAGAGATAGGCCACCAGACTTCTTGGGAGTTAGTCGACTTCAGGCCAGATGCCCTAGGAAAAGCCTTTGTGACAGCCTGTTGCAGATGAGCACTGACATGTCCTCTCCCATCTCTGCAGGGATGCCAACAGCCTACGACCTGAGCAGTGTTATCACTGGTGGAGCCAGTGTCAGCCACAACAACCTTATCCCTTTAGGTTTGTGTTCTCTTGGGGGTGGGGAATCACCCTGAGTCTGAGGATGTGGCAAAAGGGACTTGTGCATCACCCCTTGGGGTGGTGCTTCAGTCAGAAGAGCAGGGACCAGGGCATAGTCTCTGGAAAGAAACCAGTGGCAGCTGACAAATGATGGATGGGATGTGGGGCCTGTCGCCATCCTCTCCTTCCTCTGTGGGCCCTTCAGACCAGTGCCCACAGCTGTCTTGCTCTGCCGTCTCCTGTGTTGCGCCCCTTTCTCTGTGCCCCCCCCACCCCCCAGAGGCCGCTGAGCAGTGTGAGGAGGGGTGTTTTGAATGTGTACCCTTGTGTGTGTGTCTCCGAAGGATAATGAGATCAGCCCAGCATTTGTCACCCTGGAGCCCTCGTCCCCTCCGAACCCATCCTCATTCGTAGCCCCCCTGCTGGGCACAAGTCAGGTGTGGCTCCCTGGCCTTGGTGTGCTTTCTCAGACCAAGGAATGAGGCGCCATCCCTGTGCCCCACGGGTGGCCGAGACAGCCCTGAGCAGAGCCCTCAGCCAAAGTGCTGACAGCATTTCCCTTTCCTTCCCTCTCCCTGCGCAGCCAACACTGGGATTGTCAATCACACTCACTCCCGGATGGGCTCCATTATGAGCACAGGGATTGTCCAAGGTAACGTGGCAGTGCCCAGGCAGGCAGGGAGTGTGTGTGTGCCCCCACCTCCCCATCTCACCCCAGGGTCTTGAACTGGCTGATGCTTGAGCTCTTGTCTTCTTGGGCGGACCCCTGGGCCGGCCCTCTCCCTCTGCTTCTCTCTTCCCCAGCCTTGCCTTTGCTCTGTGGTGGGGGGGGAGATCACCAAGCTCAGATGTGGGGGTGGTGTCCATAATATAGAGTGCCTCAGAGATAAACCCAGCAATCTCCAACAGGAAATGGAGCCCTCAGCAGCCTCCAGTGCGGGGCAGGGTGGGACCTGGCTGCATGGGTGGAAGTGCCAATGTGGAGGGAGCTGTGTTGGTATCGTGTGACCCAGGTTCTGTCTTCCTCTTCTCCAGGCTCCTCCAGTGGCCAGAGCGGAAGTGGCTCCAGCACTCACTACCCCGTCAACAGCCAGTTCACCATGGGGGGCCCTGCCATCTCCATGGCCTCCCCTATGTCCATCACCACCAACACAATGCATTACGGGAGCTAAAAGTCCACCTCTGATCTGAACTGACCGCACCAGGAAACCAAATGAAGATTTCCCCTTCCTCCCACCTTGGTGGACTGTGCCCTCTCCCTAACCCCTGCCCTAACCAGGCAGTTTTTACCCTTGTACCATAGAAACAAACACCCAGTCAGCTCCTTTGACATGGGGACTCGTACACTTTTTTATGAAACATCGACACCTCTGCGTCTTGGCCCCGGCCGAGGCCCCGAGTGAGCGTCGCTGTATTTTACAGATTTTACAAGAGATCATGTAGTGGGAGGCATTGCTCCCTCCTGTCCTCTCCACCCTTGGTTTGGCATCTTCCATAACAGCTGTGTGTGGGGAGCCAGACTCGGGGGCACTGATCAATGGCCTGTGGGGGGGCTGTGCTGAGTGCTGAGGGTTGGGGGGGAAAGCATAGCCCCAGAAGTCTTATCACCTTTGCCTTTTTCCCTTTAGTCAGATCAACCATGTGACCAGCTGCAGGGACTAGTAAAGCTGCTGCCCCCCTAGCCTTACAGTGTCTCCCCGGGCAGCCCCCCCCCTTTGGATGAGGGTAGGGTGGGGCTACAGGGGGGGTGGCAGGGGGGTTCCTCCTGCATCTCTGGGTCCTTGGACAGGATCAGCGTGTGACATGCTGCTTTTTTTAATTTTATTTTTTTACGAAAATAACCAGTGTCAATCCACAGACTCCAGAGGCCAGGCTGGCCTGGCACAAGCATGAGCCAGCTGCCCCTGCTGATGGACTCCGAAGATCATGGGGAAAGGGGTGGGGGAAATAAGGGGAAGGGGGGGGAGAGCAAGAAAGCCCCTGCTTCTGGCATGGCTGGCTAGCTGAGCGTGCCCAGTATGACAGAGGCCTCTGCACTCAGTTGGGAAAGCTGTGGCCCAGGGCCCAGGTAGCCGTGCTTCTCTGGGGAAGTCTGTGACCCCAGCACCAAAGGGTTCACCTCACACTTGAATGTACACACCAGCCCATGGCTGTCAGAAGCAGCCTTTTCCTTCTCCCCTCCCAGCTCTGAGTGAACCATCACATCTTGCTGCTCTCCTGTCACCTTAGGCAATTGTTCTTCCCTCCCTCCCTAAGAGAACAGGAGGAGACTGAGGCTTTGGCCAGTACTACCCATTCGGGGGTAGGGTGGGGGTGGATTAGTCAGTACTGGCAGAAACAGAACCTAAATTTGTTATGGAAGACCCTGTTTTTCTTTGTAGTTCCCATTAGGCCTGTGTATTCCCTGTATCTTAGTGTAGCCTCCAACCCTCATAGTGTGTCATTTTTGTCCCTTCCATAGGTGCCTGGGAAGGGACCTTACAGGGATTCCTTCTTGGGAAATAAAAACAGAAATGAGTGTTGTATCACAGGCAATTTCCTTCAACTCCTGCCTGCCCAGGCTCTTAGCCCCCACTAATAGGAGAGAATGGGGCCCCCTAAAGCAGGAGGGCCTGCAAACTCACGGATTGCTCCCTCCCTTTTGCCCCATTTCAGTATGTAAGAGAATAAATCAATTTTACCCTAGTAGCTTTTCTGTTCACTGGTTTCTCACAGTGGAGGTGCCCAGTAGGCCCTAAAAAGGACTAGCAACCTTGTATACAGGTGAGGAGAAGTTCCATGTTTATATAGTCTCTTTAAATCACCTTTGCATAAAAAATAAACTTTTTGATTTGTAAGAAATGTCTTCAGACCAGCAGAATGAACACAGTGGCTCAGCACTGGAGGGCTCCGTCCGTCAATGGAGATCACCTGATGACCAATTGGCAGTGGAACCCTGCTCTGGTTGTTTCTTTCTCCCCCAGGATGACTCCCTTGGTGTGTCAGCTTCCCCCAGCTGCTAAAAAAAAGTAGAAACCAAGTGGAGGGATCCTGAATTATGTTTCTGCAAACCTGTTTGCTCTGTGAGCGAAGATTCCCTATTACAGGGGTGTGAAGCCAACCTTTCAAGCAAAGTCACCTGTGAAACTTACTGTCCCTCCCCTGGGGATGGCTGGTGTGACCACATCTCTCCTTAGACACTGGTTATTCTGCTTACCTCTGTTCTTTTAGGGGGCTGCAGAAGTCTTGGAGGAGCCAGGTGGTGTGACCTGGCGGAGTGGGGCTTGGGTCACAGGAATGGACCTTGAAGGCAGGGACTGGAAAAAATAGAACTAAAGCAAGAAGTCTTAAGTCAGTGTCAAGGCTACAGGCCATCCCAGCTTGCCTATTCCTCTATACCCTAGACACCTGATGTTACCTTGCAGCCGATGGCCAGGAGGGCATGGAGGGCAATCACGACTATAAGCAGCACTGCCGATACCACCTTGGTGTCTGAACGGACAAGAGGCCAGAAGGTGAGCAATAGCACAGCCCCCGAAAGTGACACAGCAAAGACCCCAAGAAACCACTGAAGCCCGGAGACGGGGATCAGCCATAATACCTGAGAAGGAGAGAGAGGCTACAGGCTTCCGTCAGTACCTAATACCCCAAGCCCCCAGCCCCTCAAGCTGTCCTTACCACAGTCGGGATGTAGATGAAGAGGGAATATCCATAGACACACACAATCTCCAGAAAGGTATAGCAGCCAACACGTTCTCCAACACCTTTGCGCCACTGCAGGAAGCCCCACAATGCTGTTGGTACCAGCCATGCGTAGCAGTAAATGGTGATCCCTGCAACAGTAACTGGAAGAGAAAGCCCAACCCATACCTGTTAAAGACCAAGTAGCTCTCTAGTGCATGCCTGGGCCCCACTCTCCCCCATCTGTTGTGCACAACAGGCCCATGGTCTGTCTGCTCCATCCCTGATGAGAAACCCCCAAGGTGTGCTCACCTTTATGAAACTGGGGGCTATAAGAAAAGGAAGCTTCTCTCCAGTTCTGTAACAGAGTGGCCAGGTTGCTGCTCACAGCCAGTGTGAAGGCCAAGGTAGCACATATCCAGAAAGGCCCTGGGGAAGGATGTACATTAGATCCCAGTCCCACTAGGGATAGAGCTGTACCCTGCCTCTAATCTCTCAGAAATCCTTTAGCTAGCAAAATAAAATCCTAGCCTTACCGTACAGGTCTGGATGATGCCGAAGACAGTGCCTCACAAAGTTCTGGCTAGGTAACGGCAACAGTGAATTTTTGATCCTCTCCAGCACCTAGGATGGAAAGAAGAGTACCCACCACAATTATAGCCCTTAAACACCTATTAGGGGTAGGGAGGTCACTGCCAGTACAAGGGCAAATAAAAGTTGCCTTTAAGGAGTTTCACTGGAGGGGATCTACATGCATAAATAAGTATGACTTGAAGTATCACAATGAGGACAAGAGAAGCATCCAGAAAAAGAGAAGGGGTGGAGGGAGTGGGAAGGAAAGATCACTTTCAGCTATGTGGATCAGGGAGAAGGTGGCACCAGAAGAAAAAGGATTTCAACAGAAGCCTGTAGGGAGACAAACTTGGGCAAAACAAGCCTTCTTTAGGCTTTCCAGAGGCCCAGCAGGAGGGGCCTACAGCTCCCCACCTTAAGTTTGAGCTAGTCAGGAGCCTTCACCTGATGCGTATCCACATCAAAGAAAGACTGGTGGTAGCTGAAGGTCCAGAAATTTGGAGGCTGTTTCTCACCCTCTAGCAGCTGTAAGAGAAATGGTCCAAGCTGTGTCCCTTGAAAGCTCTTAGCCCACAGCCGGGTAGTAGGGAGTTTCGGGGAGGGCCTGAGCTCACCTGAGTCTGGTCATTCTCTTCTAAGTCTCCATTTTCTTGGTCCCCTGTGTCTGCAGCCAAGCTCACGTGGCCCTGTGGTTCCCTAAGGCTGGAGATGGTGGTAGCCCCCGGTGTCTCAGCTAGCAGGTCAGCAGCCACTTCAAATTCTGTACATGTAACCAGGGCCCCCTAAACTCAGAGCTGGCCATTGGTAGACCATACCTCAGGTGCCCAAATTCTAGACCTCCACTCCCCATCCCAGCCATCCACAAATCTGTCCTTCCCTTCCCTTTGGGGTGTCAGCTCAGCCTCCCTCTGCCCTGCATTCAGCCCGATCTCAGCAACTAGTTCAGATATGGAGTTGGGGATGAAGGGGAAGCCTGTCCCACAGCGATGAGGAGGAGGGTCCATGCAGAACACGAGCATCAGTTAGGTGGCAAAGTAGATACAAGCGTTGAGACCGGAGTCAGGAAGACCTGAATTCAAATTCAGCCTCAGACACTTAACTAGCTCTGTCACCCTGGGCAAGTCACTTAACCTCTGTTTGCCTCAGTTTCCTCATCTGTAAAACAGGTATAATAATAGCACCTACCTCCCAGGGTTGTTAAGAGAAACAAATGAAGGACTTTTAAAACACTTAGCAAGGGACCTGGCACACAGGAGGTGCTATATAAATATTAACTATTATCATTAGTAATAACAGTATTAGGAGATTTGGGTCTCAAGAGGGAGCTGGAGAGTCATGGGCTCTGGGGGTGGTCAAGGAGAAAAGGTCCTTTGGGGGGGTAGCAAGGAAAGGGCCTAAGGAATCTCTGAGGGAGGAGGACGGGGGCCTGGAATGCAGGGTGGTACTGTGGGTACCGGGGTCTGGAGTGTATGGGGAGGGTCAGGGTTAGAAGTCGGGGTCCCAAGTTGGGGGGCATGGAGGGGAGCCCCAAGTCCTCAGTACTCATGGGGGGGGGCTGGGGGCTGCTCACTCACCACGGAAGGTGAGATCTTGGGGCGCAGCCATAGCCAGCGCTCTCACCACATCTCCGGCCTTACACCCCACGGAGACAGGTCAGGGGTCACGCAGAGGAACCCCTCCTCCCCCAGGGCTCAAGCTGCTGGAGGCCGGCTCACTCAACCCACCCCTCCAGCTGTTCACTGACTGCGTGGAACGCCTCCTCTGCGCCTGCGCCATCTGGATCCGGGTCGGGCCCACAGTCCGGGGGAGGGGATAACAGGTTTACCTCTTGCCCTGCCCGTCCTCCTCCTCCGGGTGGCGCTGCTTGTACACGTTCAGATGGTATACCTCGGCGTTAACACTCCCGTCACCGTCCCCCGCTACGCGCTCCACTTATTCCCTTCCGGTGAGGAATCATTTCCGGCAGCGTCTTTGCTCAAACGAAGTGACACGGCAGTGTTGGGGCGAAGGGAATGTTTCCTTCCGGGCTGTCAGGGAGTACGGAGCAGGAAGACGATGGTGACCGCCGTGTCGTGGAGGAGAGTCTACTCTAGCGGCGCCGCCGCCGCCGCCGTTGGGGGAGGAGAGGGAACGGGCCCCACCGGGGCCGTAGCCAAGCGGGGCGTATGGCAGCGGCTAGGTGAGTAGAGGCCAGGGAAGCCGGGGCCGGGGCCGAGAGGCCCGGCGTCCCTGGCGCTCACGCCGCCTCTCGTCCGCAGGCGCGTGGGTCCATCGGCTCCTGCACGATTACGCCGAGGCGTGCGCGGACGCGGCGGCGGCGGCGCGGGAGCGGCCCGTGCGGGCGGCGCTGTACGTGGGGCTGCTGGGCGGTGCGGCCGCTTGCGCCCTCCGGGCCCCGGAGGAAGCGTCCTTCGAGGAGGCGCTGCTGGACGCGTCTGGGACCCTGCTGCTTCTGGCGCCCGGCACCCGCAACCCCAGCTCGGAGGCGCACGTGCAGCGACTGCTGTGGTTGCGGGGCCGGGGCCGGCTGCGCCACCGCAGCCTGGGCCTGTGCTCGCTGCTCTACGAGGCTCCCTACGACCCCGAGGTCAGTCTGTATCAGGCGCGCTGCCGCCACCTGCAGCCTCGCTGGGCCGACTTCCCGGGCCGCGTGCTCGACGTGGGCTTCCTGGGCCGCTGGTGGGTGCTGAGCGCCAAGATGCGGGACTTCGACATCAACGACGACGAGTTCCGCCACCTGCCGCCGCATCTGCGCACGCTGGCCGAGCACCAGCTGCGCTCCGAGGCGAACGAGCGGCTCTTCGCCCAGAAGTATCTGCCCGTGGTCCTCACGGAGGACCAGGTGGACCAGGCCCTGTGGGAGGAGCACCTCCTCCAGAAGGAGAAAAAGGACAGGCTGATGCTGAGCGAGGCCGCCCCCGAGGAAGTCGGGGCCCAGTCGGCCGCCGGGTGAAGCCCTGCCGCCCTCGGACTGCACGGGACTGAGTGCCCTCGCTGTCTTCTTGCTCGGTGGTTAAGGGAGGGAGCTTTAGTGAAATAAACTGTTTTTTCCTCTCTTCTCTCTCTTTCCCATCTTTTTTCTTCTTTAAATGAATTGGTACAGTTTGCTGCACCAGGTAAGTAGAGTTGCTTTGGTTTTCCTTAGGTACACTCCAAGTTTTCCTGTCCCTTTCTTGACAGTCATTTTGGAAACTAGCTGCTGCAGGAAATGATCAGACACAGAGCTCTGTATCTCTTCCCTTTCCAAACACCAAGGCTTCCTCTCTTCTTAACTTCTTCATTATTGTTAAGGGAGGTCCGGAGTAAGGGTTACCACCCCCCTCCTAATCTCTCAGACTCGAAACCTGGTGGTCCTCCTCGCTCTCACCCTTAAAGCCAGTCAATTGCTAAGATCTGTTGTTTCTCCTTTCTTAACATCTCGCCTGTATATCACCTCTTTGGCACTGTGACGGTGCCAACTACTGCATAACCCTGCCTCAAGTATTTCTCTGCTTCAGTTCTCTATTCAGCTGTCAAAATGGTCTGTAAGTGCAGATGTGACTCTTTCACTGTCTCACACACACACACACACACACACACACCCTTCCTTGCAGTAAACTTCTTTGGGGATGTTAGTTCAAGAAACAAAGATATTTCATTGTTTAGTAAAGCCTTTTATAATTTGGCCCCATCCTACTTTTCTGGTCTTCTTCAACCCATGTTGGAACTCTCTTCCCAACCTTTATCTGCTAGCTTCTCTGGCTTCCTTCAGGTTCCACCTAAAATCCCACCACCTTCTACAAGAAGCTTTTCACAATTACCTTTAATGCTAGTGACTTCTCTGTGTTGATTTTACCTGTTTATCCTGTCCATGTCTTGTTCATGCATAGTCATCGTCTCCTCCATTAGACTGTGAGTTCCTTGACGACAAAGACTGTCTCTTACCTTTCTTTGTATCTCCATCATTTAGCACTGTGCCAAACCTGTGGCCTGAAGGCCACGTGAGTCCCTTTGACTGAATTCAACCTCACCAAACAATTCCTTTTATTAAGGGGATTTGTTCTGTGAGGTTTGGATTCAGTCAAAGGGCCACACTTGAGGACCTAGAGGGCCACATGTAGCCCAGAGGTTGAAGGTTCCCGCTTGTAGACATTATGTTGAGTTGATGTTCAGTCAGTGAGTCAAGAAACATTATTAACAACTACTATGGGCAGGCCTGTGCCAAGTGCTAGGGTTACCGTGAAGAGCAAAAGACAGTCTGTGTTCTCAAGGAGCTCACAGTCTAATGGGAGATAATTTGCAAATGATTATGTAAAAACAAGATACACACAGTGTAAATGGAAGTAATTTCTTACTAGTGGTTAATGGAAATAATGACAAATGGAAGTGATGGTTAAGCATTAGGTATATCCAGAGACTGGGAAGGGCCTCCTGCAGAAGGTAAGATTTGAACCGAGCCTTGAAGGAGTGCAGGAAGGAGAGATGATGAAGAGGAGAGCGTCCCAGGCTTTGGGGACAGCAAGGAAAAAAGCTTTTATTCCAGACAAGCTACAGAGAAATCCTTTGCTCTCAGCCTTATTTTGAACCAAAAGCTTAATGACTCTTCCATTTAATTTCTTGGGTATGATCTTAGGCAAGCTATTTAGCTTCCTAGGGTTTCTACAGATGAAGGAATTATATACTACATGATCTCTGAGGACCCTTCCACATCTCAGCCCTCTGCACAAGACTAGAAGCAAGAACTTAACCCCCTGAGTACACCATTATCTTTTGAAATAGTCTCTTTGAAAGACAGACAGTACTAACAATTATCCTGACCCTGATTACACAGTCATATTCTTTATTTGTCCCAGAACTCATTAAGTATCATCATTTTCTTTCTGTTATAATTAGAAACCCCAGCAGAGGGTGCTAGAGATTCAGGGAAAATCAGTATTACCTAGGGTTGCCTTACCACAGAAGTGAATTGCTTCTTAATGATGTGTCTTTATGGATGCATTGCTTTCACTTTGGAATTTGATAACTTTAGTTTTGACTCATAGGCCTGTGAGGCTCCCATGCTGCTGCTTTGTTCTGTAGTGCAGTTGGCAGTTGGTTCTATGTGCCAGGCTTCCCAAGCTGTTTCTGGATGTTAAGAACCCCAAGGGGAGACTGGGAAGCAGGACTCTGACGGGAAAACACAGTCTTGTTCCTGGGTTTAACTGTGGTGAGTCACAAGTTAGGGGCGCGTTTGGATGGTTCTGTGTTGTTCTTCTCTCCACATTTACACACACACACCCCTACACCCCTTGGTTTAAGAGCTTGAGATAGCCACTCACCATCAAACAAGAAGCACTTGTTAAGTATCTGCTGTGTGCTAGACTCAGTGCTAAGCATCAGGGAGACAAGACAGAAACAAGATAAGCCCTCAAAGAATTGACATTTTTGGGGGGTGGGGGTGGACATGTGCATATGTGTGTCTGTACACATATGCAAAACAAAATACAGCCAGTTTTCACTTAAGGTAAGTGGACTGTTTCCAGGCCTCCCTCTCCCCTCATGGTGTTCTGCACAGCCTGCCCTCTCCGTGGCTCTGCAGCCCCAGCAGCTGGAATGGCTTCAGTGCCTGAAGCTGAGGATCCTTGGTGTGCAACTGCATGGGAGCTGTTGTCACTGCCACCTCTACCCCTGCCACTGCCTGCTGGGAGATTGGGCTGGCTTAGAGTAGGGTCTGCCCTGGGAGTCGAATTTATATAATGGGGATTTATGTGAAGTGAGAACTGTGTACAAAGTGATTCTGGAAGGAAGGCTTTATATAGCAAGGGGCACTTGAGTGGAGCTGTGAGGGGAGCTGGGGTTCCAGGTATGGGAGGAACAGCCTGAGCAAAGATGGGAGATAGGAATGGAATTTTGTGCAAGAAGGACAAAAACTAGACCAGTTTGGCTAGAATGTAAAGCGTGTGAAAGGGAAGAATGTAAAATCAGCCTGGAAAGGTCATTTGGCACCAGACAGTGTAGTGCTCTAAAGACCCAATAGAAGAGTTTGTATTTTATCCTAGAAGCAATAGGGAGCCGATGGAACTTTTTGAGCAAGGCGCACAAGGGGCCGGTTGAAAAAGCAGTCAGACTGTCCACATCTTGGAGAAGGGTAAATGGTACCTTTGTCATAGATGTCTATGTCATCTTCCTTGAATGAAAAGATGAATGAATGAAAAGCATTTGTTAAGCACTTACTGGGTGTCAAGTAGTGTGCTGAGTACTGGGAATACAAATGCCAACAGTCCCTGCTCTCCAGGAGCTTGTGTTCCAGTGGGAAAGACTACACAGTTACAGGAATGGTGGACATGGATGGCTATTCTGGTGTTGAAGGTTTCCTGGATAGTCAGTGGTGTCATAGGGGAATAGATTGACAGACCCTTTCTAACAGCTGTGCTCTATTAATAATAGTTTTCAAAATGCTCTGTACATCTCATTGTATTAGCATTGATTTGATTGTGGTTTCAGAAGTAAAAATGAGTGTGTGAGAGGGTACACACCTGAACAGCAAGGGAGCTGATTAGGGAGTGGGCAGTGGAGGCACTCACCAATGACAACAAAGGGTCTGGGAGTTCCAGAGCTGAGAGGGTTAAGTCCGCTGAGACATGATCCCTGAAGGCACTTCAGCAGGGCAGCAGTAAGTGCCTTACCTTGATATGCTTGGCACAGTGCCTGCACATACTAGGCATGTGATGTTTATTGACTGACTGATGTGAATTAACTGAGGCTAAGGGAAAATATGGATAATGTTTTCTAGTATCCTTTATAAGTTCCCAAGCCTGTACTTGTGTATCCTATGTTTGTGTTTTGTGGGCTAGATAGTGCATATAACACTGGCCATCGTCTCCTGAGTACTCTTCTGTCCCGGGTTTTCATGACACTGATCTTTCATGATTCTCCTTCTACCTCTCAAGTCACTCCCATCTTCTTTGCTGCTTCATCATCCGTGTCACGCCCCTTAACTGTGGCTGTACTCGGGCCTCTTCTGTTTTTTCTCCACAATCTCTTGTGACATCCTCAACTCCTATGAGTTTATCATCTTGTGCCGGAGATTCCAGAACTGATGTATCTAGCCCTTCCTTGTCCTTGAGCTCCAACAACTCGATCTCCAGCTATCTGTTGAATTTTGCAAACTGGATGCCTCATAGGCATTCAGACCTGACATACCCCAAACGGATTTTATCTTTCCCTTCCAAACAGCCTCTTTAGAATGTAATGATTGCTGTTGAGGCCAATACTGTCCCTCTGTGCCCTAGGTTCAGAACTTCAGCGTTATCCTTAACTCCTCAGTCTGAACCCCACAGAGCCAGTTACCAAATCTCATCTTTACTATCGCCAGTCTCTCGCTTACCTTCAGGCCCTTATCACGCGGCAGTTAGGTGGTGTAGTAGATAGAGTGCTGGGCACTTGGGAAGACTGGAGTTCAAATTTGGCTTCCAACATTAGTTGTGTGTCCTTGGACAAGTCACTTAACCTGTTTGCCTCTGTTTTCTTAACTAACGTGAGGATAATCACAGCACCTTCCTTTTTCCAACCGTAAGGTTATTTGGAGGATCAAATGGGAGAATATTTATCATGTGCTTATCACAGTGCCTGGCACATAGTAGGCTCTGTATAAATGCTAGCTGTTATAGTATTACTGTCACTTCTTCCCTAGACTGTTTTAACATTCTAATTGGTCATCCTGTCTTCAGTCTTTCACCTCTCTAATTCAGCCTAAGTGTAGCTGCCAAAATGATTTTCCTAAAGTGCAAATCTGACAACGTCATTCCCCTACTCAGTAAACTCTAGTAGTTCCTTGTTGCCTCTGAGATCAAATGTGAGCTCCTCTGTTTAGCCTTTAAAAACCTTTACAGCCTGATACCAGCCTACTGTTCCAACCTTATAAAAGACTCCTCTTTCCTCACTGTACCACCCAACCAAGCATGCCTTCTTCCTCCTCTCCACATGGCCCCTTTCTCTCCCGGCTCCGTAACTCTGCACTTGCTATACACCTAGCCTAGAATGCACTTCTTCCTCACCCCCCAACTCCCTTAGAATTCCTTGTTTTTTTCAAAACTATTTAAGCAAT